CAGTCTCCTACTGCTTTTGTTTTTCCTCTTTAATGTTCACCTAGCCTGCTTCCCCTTAGTATCTATTTAAAGGAAGACCTGGGGCCATGGGTGGCTTAGGGGTACTCCACACTGTCTTTGCAGCATCTCCCTGCCCCTGTGCCCTCCCTGCTTTTGTGAGAGTCAGCTGAACTGGCATGTGTGTGACAGCAAACTCCTGGCTGCCAGCTGGAGCAATGGACAGAAGGTTGTTTTAGGGCATATTCTCATTTGTTTTTGTCCGAGTAACTCATAAGGTTGAGTTGTGCACTGAAATAGTAACTCTTTGCATTCAGTTTAGTTTTGTGATGCTTAATTAAAATAGCATGGCTGCAGGACTGCATTTTCCCATCCTGTGCTAGGCACAAGAGAAGCTGTGGCTGCCCCATCCCCAGAAGTGTCTAAGGCCAGGCTGGATGGGGCTTGGAGCAACCTGTCTAGTGGCAGGTGTCCCTGCCCATGGCAGGGGGCTGGAACGAGATTATCTTTAAGGTCCTATCCAACCCAAACCATTTTGTGATTCTAGGATTCTGTAAGAGCAGGTAACAAAGAGTGTTATATCTTTTGCACGCCCTTTGTTTTGAGACCTGCCTGGCCCCTACTGCGGGCTAACACAACTGTTCCTTCCACCAGGGAAGAGGAACAAAGATTAGCTGGATCCTGTTTCCTTCTGCTCTGCCCTTCAGTATATACCCAGGTCAGGAGAGAGGCCGCAGCAGAACCACTGTCACTGGGGTAGCAGCAACTCCTTCTGATGAAACACTGCTGGTGGCTTCACTGGACCAGAGAAAGCTGGAGAAGTCAGCAGGGGATCGTCCTCCCTATGCACTTGTGTCCCAAGGACACTGTACTCATGTCAGCAGCCCCAGAAAAGGTTTGGTGCTGCAGCTACAGCCTGGCCTGTGGTCATGATCTTGAGATCAAACATTTCATACTTGTCTTAGATGACTTAACAAACAAGGCTGCATGGTGCAAGGCAGCGTTGCAGCAGCTCCAATACAGGCTTAAAAAGGGGAATAATGGCATAGTAAGAGGCAGGAAGGTTTTCTGTCTGCACTTCTAGCCATGTGAGTACAGGGGTGACTGAAATGGTGGAAAATTGACTAATTTATCTAAAATGGATTCAGTTGAAACAAACAAAATGAATCCTTGTGAAACCTGTCATGCACTATCAGGAATTCATTGTTGGACGGAACACAAAAGCAGATCATTCCACCAGCTACCTTGCTGGTGTGACCTTGGTTCAGCA